GATTTTGTACATCCACATCTGAATCGCCTATAAACCATACACTACGTTGTACGTTGTACAAACTCCGTTCCTGGTATTATTGATTTGCGTAATTAATAATTGGTGAATAATGTGAATATTTTATCTAGTACACATCAGAAAAATAGAGAATAAATTATAGATAAAGAAATTGCTTTCATTTTATGAGTATTAATGGTAAGCTTGGATATTTATTAGGTTACTGTTTCGCATAAATAAGAGTGAAGAGCTTGTCAACGAGATCATTATTGTGAGATCAGATCACATGTTTCAATTTATCGTTTAACTTTTTATGTATCGCTTGTTAGATGCAGGTATTTTTCTGTCAATATCGTGGTTGCATATGATTATTGAAATATGAATTATTATTGCTATGATAATTAGAGAACAAGTAAAGGAAGTAACGCAAGAGTATTTAAGGACCTATGACTAGTATAGGTGCCATCTTTTTTTAGTTATCGCTCGCCTTATTGTAATTATAATACGGCTTGCAAAAAGTTCCGATTATGACCCAATTAAAAAAATGTTAAATGGTTTAATTGACATATAAATAACAGGAGACCTTTATCTAAATTCGAGCTAGAAGTTGCTTGTGGAAGAATTACAAAATATTATTAAAGAACGTACCAAAATTTGTAGATAGTATGGCTAGTAAAAATATAAAAGTTAGAGACCGACCGTCATATAAAATAACTAGAATAAATATTTGAATATTAATTGAATATATTTTGCAACTTTTTAATTGAATTTATTGCCAAGCGTTTATTAGTTAATATTTTTTTTTAAAAAAGCATAAAGTTAAACGGTTAAAAGTTCACAGTGGAGGACATCGTATGTCCAAGTTAGTGAAAACAATTTTCGGCTTTTGGCTCGACATAGATCTTTTTTTTTTTTATCTGTAAAGGGGTTTCTAGCCACAATTCTAATAAAGTACTTGAACCATTATTATTATTACAGTATTAATGTTTAAAATAAAATTAAACGTTTGGTACCCCAAATAAATATTCGATACTTATTAATTAACTTGAAAAAACGGATAAGTTTATTATTAAAATATAAAGTATTATTAAAGATATAATTAAAAATTGACCTTATTAAACTAAAAATAAAACAAAATAAAATAAAATAAAAAAACATAGTTAGCATTATCATAAAAATATAATTTATAAAAATATTTAAGTTAAATAATCAGTTATAATAATAAGTTAGAATAATCTGTTATTATAATCTATTGTTGTAAATCAAAATTTAGGAATAATTAGGGCTCCATTGATCAGGGGGCGACGGAAAACTAGTCATAGGAAGGTAACCAAATGAATCCGGGAATGAAAGATGCAAAGGTGATTGATAATCGTACGTCTCAACGTCTGGTTCGGTAGAATAATTGCCTTGAAAACTGTTATGTGAGTTATTTAGCGAGGAATACGAATCTGGGAAATAGGGCCTTATATTAGCTGTAGTATCTAGGAATGATAAAAACAAAATTTTTTTAGATGGTTTTTTTTTTTAACATATAGGCGATTGTGGCTACTGCATATCGATAATGACTGTGATTAATTTTAACTTCAACAATGACAGCGTTAGGTAAGATAACTTATATCCTCTCAAAAAATATGCAAGTATCGTAGCATATGAAGATCATGTCACTTGATATTTGTTTTAAAACAAAATCTTTTTAAAGAAATATGAAGGCATTGTGGTTTAAAATACTTGCCATCCTTAGTAATGTAATTGGAATTGACGACGGAGGGGACGTCAGAGGGTTTTGCTGATGTTCCTTGTTTCAATTTTTTTAAAAGATCCAATTGTTCTAAGAATATTATTATTATTAGAAAGCATTAAATCTTGGAAAATATCAATCAACATAGGAATTGCTATGCGTACAATAATTCTAGTCAAATTTGTCAAAAACATGGCCAGATTAAGATACATTGCTCAAAACCTGGCAAATTTGACTAGATCTATAAAAGGTTGAATTTTTGGTTATATGCGGTAAAAAATTCTCACCTGGCGTAATTTCAATATTTATATATGCTTTATCACCAACTTCAATTATTTCAAAGTCATTAGGTGGATCGGATTTGATAATAGACACAATAGTATTTTTTTCTGTAACACTATTCGGTTTTGGACCACGTTTCTTTTTATCGGAATAGGTACATGGCAAATTCTTATCAACACATCTTTTGCATGTCTGCGGAATATTGGACTCGGGCTCACATTTTCTTTTCGCTTTTACACATTCATTACAAGCATTTACCGTGTTTTTCCTGATTTCTTGTTGATTCATGTTATGTTGACTCAGAATGACATCGTGACTTTAAATATTATACCTTGCGGGAAAATGAATTCTTCCACTTTTTACTAAGCGTAAGGAACGCTGCTCCGAAAAATTACCTGTACAACATAATCATGTCGTACGTACGTACACATATTGAGTAGGATTTGAACATTACAAATACAGAGAGATAATGGATTGTATGTCAATATATTTAGTATAATTTGCGCATGATAAAATTTCGAAATGGACTGTGTGTTACAAATAAAAGGATGCTTTATTATAAAACAGTAATGCCGAATCATTTCTTAGATTTCTATTGTGCTAGAATTCCTATTGGTAATCCGGCAAAATCCGAAATTTTACAATTTGCTTTGTCTTTTATGATAATATCTTCGTGTAACGGACACCGTATAAGAGGTAGTTAGTAAAGTACGTAGTACTGTATGATTGTACCGACGTACGTACGAAATTTTGATACGTAGTACGTACGTACAGTTAACATAATTTTTATAAGTCCATTATCCATTTGACACAAGAATGTGACGAATTATTGGGTGTAGCTAATAATTATTATTTAATATAATTATTAATATAATTATTTAACTAACGCTTACTCGCCACATCGATGACTCATCACATCCTCATGCCAAATGAAAGAGGAGATTTAATCCTTTACAATTATACCCTTTTACATTGTTTAGAATTAGGGCAAGTGCGAGGATGTTCTTTTTCTTGTGAGGTTATAGGAAAATTATCTTTGTTTCGAAAGAATTTTTTCTTTACAAACCGTCCACATGTCAGTCCCAATTTACGCTTCCAATTTACTATTGTGAGCCCCGAAATTTGTCTACCGTTATCACGGTTACCCGTGATCGATCGTTGAATTTAGGTCCCGTCGCCTACCCGAGTAATTAGTCACATGAAAAGTAAGATTTATCTTACTTTTCTTACTTTTATTACTTTTGTTACATTTATTACATTTATTACTTCGGGTAGATCGACGGCATATAGTACCTTCGGTTTTTCTTTAGGACAGAAGGGAAAGGGGTTTTAATAATTATATAGTGTAAATAGATAATGTAGAGGAAATTAACCTTGAATGTAAACAATACTTTTATTATAAACAAAGGGCTTTCCGCCCAGGGGGAAAATTGCGATGCCCCAAGTCAATACATTTGCTAAAATAAACTTAAGTATCGGACCCATATTGAAAGTAAAACTATAACCTAACCCAAACTGAAAACTACCGTTAATCCCCCCGTTATCCCTATCGTTCGCCCGCAAACCACTGAACCGCATTTTGATCGTTCGCCGTAATCATGTGACCAAGCCATTAACGCAAGAGAAGGACTCCAACCCGATTCGACGTATCGTAACCCCACGTTAAGGAAGTAAAGAGAGGACAAGAGAAGGCAAGGGTTAATAGAAGAATAGGTTAAAGGAAGGACTTAGCAGAGAAGAGTAGTACTTACCTACGGATAAACCACTAGCCAAATCTAACACGCCTATTTCGACTTAGCCGCCGTAGGTTACACGAGAATTGGAAGGAATTAGCGACAGACTCGCCGATTTGCCGAACAACACTATATACCCCTATGTAAGGCAGTGTTGTACATTTTGATTGACCTGAGCCTTTTGACCTTGTCGTTACATACGATTTCGGAATGTCCCAACTTGTCCTATCAATTGCCTAACAAAATTTTGCATTTTTGTAAAACCTCAACTTTATCCCAACTATCCCGTGTAGTATTTATGTTTTGAGATTTAAAGTTAGATGAGTGCTTATAATGTTCGTTTTTTAAAAGGTAATTACGTACGCATCCGAATAAATTACTGTAATTTTTAAATTCTGTTCAATTCTTACCATAAGACTTTGTATAATATGTGAAACTGATGATGATAATAGGAGAGGGTGAACCGCGCTGTAAATTAGTAAAACGTGCTACGTAGATCATGTTAGGGTGAAATCCGCGTTTAGCTGTGTCTTTTTATTATGCACAAGCGGATTTCACCGAGTGCCCTAATTGCTCCACCACCTCACTATCGGAGAACTATCAAATTATTTCACCCTCATGTGATCTGTGTAGTGGATTTTACTAATTCACAACGCGGGTTTCTCCTGTCGTATGATAATTATAATTAAATTGAGATTAATGATGGTAAAAAAAGAGTAATAAAAATAGTTATTTTACTGTAAAGTACTTTTTTTTTTTTAATACTTATTTAAAACTTATGGATTCATAAGTTGTGATTTGTAAAACCTTTGATCAAACACTTGAAACTTATAAAACCTAAGAGAAATAGAGCTTGAAGGATTAAAATTATAACGAATGTTTATTATGGGTGTCTAATTATTCAAAAAAAACTTCATACAATCACTGCAATCGAACATCAAGCAAAGTCTAAATTATACTAAGTTATAATTTCCTATAAAAAATCATTATACTCAAATTGATTTCGTTGTGCTTTATGTATTAAAGTAAAAAATTTCAAATATACACGTGAACTTATTATATAATCTAATTTTCATTGTACTATAATGCTTTTTTAAACATTTATACTAATTGCAAATCGACCTTTGTCATTGTATAATTTGAAAATGACACATGTTAATTACATAAAAAGCCTACTTTACAAAAATCTGTCAAAATTGAACTTGCTAAAAATATGCACATTTTTACGAATCTTAACACTTTATTGGCATTTTATTCTATAATTACATTGTGAAAATCATACATATTTGTGATAGCAACAAAATATCCTAGATCTAGCATAAACAACTGTTGTTAGGCAAACCTATTTTTGGTATATGGCAAAAGTCAAAACTGGCAAAACTCTGGCAAAACAGCAAAATTCTGGCAAAATGGCAAAACCTTGGCAAAGCATCTGATAAAGTTAAAATTCCTGAAGAAGGTCAATTATTACAAAATTCAACTCCTCTAAGCTTTGGAAAGACTGAGCCACATGGCGAATCAAAATATTTTGTGTGTGGTTATTAAGCATAACATGTGGCTTATACAGTATACAAATGTGCAAATTTAATAAACAAAACAATATAATTAAAAGAAAACTAGATTTCAGACTTTTAAACTAATAAATTAATTTAGTTGTAAAAATACAAAATCTGAAATTCTGTTTTTTTTAATTAATGTTTATTTATATATTAATATTATTTATATTAATAAACTTACCTAAATATTTAAATAAATTTATTGCTATATTGTTAAGATTTTTTTTAACATTTCATTATTAATGCTTTAATATATATGTAAATAATTTGTTAATATTATTACTAACCATAATTATTTTCTGGTACTCTATATTAAATCAAATATAGTAAATTTTGATATTATAGTTAATGTTAAAAATATCTAATACTGAAATTTAAACCTATATTAATATAAATTATTTAAAATTTTTGTAAGTGTTTTTTTTTATTTTTAGTATTTGAATTAATTATTAAAAAATATATATAAATTTTACTAAAATTTTTATTTAAATAATAAACAAAAAAAACTAAATATTTATAAATGGATTTTTTTTACTAAGAAGTGTAAACTTTAATACAATACAGAAAAATATAATTTAGAGTTTAATATATATAATTCTAATTGTTCATTTTTTCAATTACATGTTTTACTAATAATTTTTTAAAATACTGCATTTTTGTATAAAAAAACTAATTTAAATATATTAGTTTTTTTTACTCATTACTTATTCTTAAATTGAAGTTTTAGTTTTATTTTTTTTAGTATTTATTATGTATAATATTTAATTTTTTTAACTCTTTGGCAGCCTTGCTAATTACTTTTATTTAGATTTTTGGGTTCATCTATAGAATAAGTGTACTAATGCACTTGATAATTATATCGATTATTACATTATACAAAATATAACCATTGATTATTTTTTTTTTTTTTGAAATTTGGTGACAATGCCAGTTGGTTTTTATTAGCTTAATTTTGATATAGTACAAATTTATGGTTACATTTTAGGATCGATTATTA